ATTTTTAATGTAGAGTTTCAAAATACTGTGTATTCTCTATGTTTTATAGCTTTGTTAGACTTTAGTGAGTCAACAAAGATGAATAAATGTTAATATTATTATTGGACAAATCAGTTTTGTGACTCATTAATCACAGAAAGGAACCCTTACATGCAGTCCAAGGTGAAATAGGGGAAGCACGCTGGACTTGAGACTAGGTGACCTGGACCTCCTTCCTCCCTGGTTCTGACATGTTCTAGACAGAGATATTGGGCTTCTGTTTCCCTTAAGGACACAAGGTGGCGCTACTATGCTGCTGCTATCCTTTAGTAACATATGTTCCTAATCATGTTTGTTTGTTTTGTTTTGTTTTGTTGATATTGGGGATTGATGGAATTTTTGATGCATTTTAAATATTGCTCAACCATTGAGCAATATTCCCAGCCCAATCTTGTATTTTATTAGAGACAGGATCTCACTGAGTTGGTTAGGCCCTATGGTTGCAGAGTGGGCTTTGAATTGATGGTCCTCCTGCCTCAGCCTCCTGAACCGCAGGGATTACATGTGTTTGGCAAAATCCTGGTTCTTCAAGCAACGCCTCCAAGTACTCCATCGATGCGTCATAAGCATGGCGGGACAGCCCATCTCATCTTTTGGCTGGGATGGCTCAAATTTTCAGGTAGCTGGAAGGCTGGGAGTGGGATGTCTGAAGTTTGGATCACTCACAGTTCTGGAGGTTGGCCTTGGTTCTCCTCAGGGGTCTCTGTTGTAGCACTCACCACAGGACTGCATGGTTTCCTCCCAGCCCAGTGATTAGATTGCATGAGAGCTTCTTAAGATCATCCAGAAAAGAGGTCTCATTTTAATGATGTGAAGTCAGGGAGTGTTTCTTCTGACACTTTTGGTGGAGGCAGTCCCACTGGCCCACTGGGCTCCAGGGTGAGGCCCCTGGCAATGGGAGGAGTGTGGATTATTTCTTGATCCGGGCAGGGAGGAGGCGGTCACGTGGGAGACACCTTTGTCCTGTCTTCCTCATGGCACCCTTGTGAGGATTACACACAGATGGCGTCTGGGAAAGAGGCCGAAATGTGAAATACTCCGTGTGTGTGTGTGTGTGCGTGTGTGTGTGTGTGTGTGTTTCCTTCATGATTAGCTTAATAGCATTACCATAATGTGGATGGAATTTTTGATGCATTTTTAAATATACCTACCAAATCTGAAAGTAATTATTTCTCCATCTCCTTAGTTAAAAGACTCTAAATGGGTAGAGCTAGAAAAAGAATAGGGATGCACACACACCCAGAGATGATACGTATATATGATATACTTCTATATATGTCACATATTTAAATAATTATATAATATCAACTTTTATAGATGATATAAGTATATAATGTAAATATGATATATTTGATAACTGGTTTGTATTGACTCAAATAGTAATAAGCACGTGCACAAGATTTGCAAATGTTCTGCAGCCGTTGATCTGCCATTCCTTCTCCATCAGCCTGAAGTGTCTCACTATTCACTCTCCATTTTTCGAGCAATACTAATTCCTTTTTTGCAGATTTTTTATCTGTGCTTCACAACATTTATAGATTGTGTTAAATGTTCATCTGTGTACTAATGTATACTTATTATTCAACCATCAAGTTTAAATTCCTAATAGAGGAAAAAAAAACATTAGTAGAAAAAAGAACGCAACTGAGTACAATTTACACTTGTACGCAGTTAAAATCTCATCTGGCCCTTGAAGTCTCAGTGACATTGGAGCCTCTTAGTTTTTATTTCTTGAAGGATTTAGCTCTCTGTAGTCACATAGTTCTCTCAAATCTGCCACAGTGTCATAGGAACAGTGTTCTGCATTTCTCCAGATAGAACCCTTTGCTAGTCTAGGATGCCGGTTTTAATGGTATTCATATGCTACCTTTATGGTCCAGTCCTACACATCCACAAAACATATTTCTGACTTCCTTGTACTGAATTGTCAATCCCCAGAGGAAGTAAACTCTCAGTTCTCAGCTACTTC